TCCCTGGCGGGCAGGGCTCAGCTGGGCTGGGTGACCAAGGGCTGCAGCCGCCCATTTCCCGGGCAGGGTGTGTGCCAGGGACCCTGGAGTGACCCGGTCCGGGCGGTGTCGGGCCCCTCCCAGCTCCCAGGGCTGTGCCAGTGTCCCCTCTGTCCCCTGCAGTACGGCCTCTATTCCTCCTTCATGGGCTGCTTCGTCTACTGCTTCCTGGGCACGGCCAAGGACGTGACTCTGGGTCCCACGGCCATCATGTCCCTGCTGGTCTCCTCATACGCCTTCCACGAGCCCGTCCATGCCGTCCTGCTCGCCTTCCTCTCTGGCTGCGTTCAGCTGGCCATGGGGCTCCTGCACCTCGGTGAGATGCTCTTGCCATGCACAGATTGGGGATTGTCCCGCTAGCGCTTGTGGCAGCTGTCTGTGCACACCCTGGGGTCGGGGGTGCTCACTGCCTCCCGTCCCCTGCAGGATTCCTTCTGGATTTCATTTCCTGCCCTGTCATCAAAGGGTTTACATCAGCTGCTTCCGTCACCATTAGCTTCAACCAGATCAAGGTAGGCTGTGCCCCGTCCCGGCTGCCTCAGCAGCTCTCTCGTGGTGCTGTGGAACTGGGGCACTCAGCCCCGGGCTGGGTGATGTGCTTGGTGCTGAGCCCCGCCCGTGGTTCTGCTGGGTCCCCGGGCGCTCCGCTCTGAGCACACCGAGCTGAACGCCCCCTCTGCGGGTGACCAGCTGCTGGCACCCGGGACACCCGCGACATTGCCTGTGGTCACTTGCCGGAGGCGCTGGGCGGTTCTCTGGCGCGGTGGGTCCGCAGGTTTGGAAGCTGGGGAGGGTTTTGCAGCCCCTCGCTGGCCCCCAGGGACCTGAGGCTCTGCTGGGCTGCCACACTTCCTTTGTGGTTAACCCAAATCAGAGCCTCTGCCGGCAGCTCCGGGCCGCTGTTGGCTGATACTGGCTGATGTTGGCTAATGCTGGCTGATGTTGGCTAATGCTGGCTGATGCTGGCTGATGTTGGCTGATGCTGGCTGATGCTGGCTGATGCTGGCTGATGTTGGCTGATGTTGGCTAATGCTGGCTGATGTTGGCTGATGCTGGCTGATGCTGGCTGATGTTGGCTGATGTTGGCTGATGCTGGCTGATGCTGGCTGATGCTGGCTGATGTTGGCTGATGCTGGCTGATGCTGGCTGATGTCAGCTAATGCTGGCTGATGCTGGCTGATGCTGGCTGATGCTGGCTGATGCTGGCTGATGCTGGCTGATGCTGGCTGATGCTGGCTGATGCTGGCTGATGCTGGCTGATGCTGGCTGATGTTGGCTGATGCTGGCTGATGTTGGCTGATGCTGGCTGATGCTGGCTGATGGCTGCGGTCACGGGGCCGGCCGGGCTGGGCTGGGCTGTCACCACACTTGCTGTTCCTGCACAGAACATCCTGGGGCTGCAGGGGATCCCGAGGCAGTTCTTCCTGCAGGTCTATGAGACGCTGCGGAGGATCGGGGAGACCAGGTCAGCACCGTCCCTGCCCTGCTCCCTCCCCTGCTGCTGCCTGGGCTCTGCCCCTTCTCTCCCCGTCTCTGCTCACGCCCCGGACCCATTTCTCATCTGTGCCCAGCGCTGTGACACAACCCCCCCTGCCCTGGGGCTTTGTGGGAGCTCTCCCCGTGCCCACAGCGTGTTTGGGGTGGCACTGCCATGCCTCTTGCAGGGCTGGGGACGCTGTGCTGGGGCTGAGCTGCCTGGCTGCGCTGGCAGCGCTCCGGGCCATGAAGAGCCACCTGCCTCGAGCCTCCCCTGCAGAGCCACTGGCTGTCAGGATCAGCTACCTGATTGTGTGGATCTGTGCCACAGGTGTGTCAGCTGTCCCCTGGCTCAGGGGACAAAGCCCCAAGGGTCCTGTGCCCTTCCTGAGGTTCGGGAGTCCTGAGCAGCTCGGATCCCCATCTCCTGCCCCCCTCCCGCTGCCCTGGGCTCCGGGCAGGTTTCAGTGTCGCTCTCTCCCCTCTGGCAGCACGCAATGCTCTCGTTGTCCTGTTTGCCGGCCTGGTGGCTTACTCCTTCCAGGTGATGGGCTCCCAGCCGTTCCGGCTCACCGGCAGCATCCCGCAGGGCCTCCCCCCCTTCCGGCCCCCACGCTTCTCCCTGGCAGCGCCCAACGGCACCGTCCCCTTCCAGAGCATGCTGCAGGTGGGTGCTGGCAGCTCCAGGGGCTGCTCTGCTCCCTGCTGCCTGTGCCAGCTCCCGGCCCCCCTGACTGGATCTCCCCTCCCAGGACATGGGGGTCGGGCTGGCCGTGGTGCCGCTCATGGGGCTGCTGGAGACCGTGGCCATCGCCAAGGCTTTCGGTAGGTGCCAGGTGCTGCCCTGTGCTCACAGGGGGTCCCTGCGGGGCTCGGGGTGTGGGGAGGGGTCTCTGAAAGGGCTTGGGGTGCTGGGGAAGGTGCTGTTCCTTTTGGGGCAGGGAGGGCTGGGCTCCTGTTGATAGCATGGGCTGGCAGGAGGGGCCGTGAGGGGTGCACAGCTGAAATTTGCCAGGAGGTGAGCGTTGTCTCGGGGTGCTCCTGCAGCCAGGGGCTGCCAGGACAGGGCCCACACTGTCCCAGGCACTGTTCCGTTCTGAGGGAACCTCAGGCCAACGCCAACATCTCCTTTCAGCCTCGCAGAATGGTTACAGGATTGACCCCAACCAGGAGCTGCTGGCTCTGGGT